ATATTTTTAAGTTTTAAATTAAGTATATATATATATATATATATATATATAGTTTTTCCTTTTCATTAATTTTATTTATTAAAACAACTTTTAACTATGACGATTTTTATAGGTGGAGAAATTTTTCAATATCTATATAAAGTTGCTTATATATATTAAAGTTAACACGATATTTTTTTTATTTCACAGATTTGGTCAAATATATTAAAGTTAATATGACTTTTTTTATTTGATACCGATTTTCATTTGTTCCCCCACTATAGCCAATACCCTCATTTCTGAGATATTTAGAGAGTAAAATTTTGATAATATTTAAAAGATCGTTTATCAATGCTTTTTTTAATATCACTTTTGCATCATTGGAGGGAAGTAATTTGAGATTTTCGGTAATTTTCTATATTTATTTGCTTTCTTGAATATTTAAGTGTTGGGAGTTTGTATAAATATTTTTTTGGGATCTTTAGATCGTGATTTTACAAATAAACTTAATCTTTTAGGTTACTTGTTTGATTTTTCTTAAAAATTATTTTTAAGAATAATTATTTAGTTAATATTTAATTTCTTTTATGATCACATAAAACACAAAAATTGGCAATAGTCCATCAACGTGTAATATTTATGAAGTTGATAAACATAAAGAAGACATGAATTTTGCACTGTCAAATTAAAAATGTGATGAATATACAAATATCATTTAATCTTATGAAATAATGAATATAATTTCCTAATATGAGATTATGTGGGCCGAGAATTAGGGCAAAGGAATTGTTAGTAATTGGATAGTTTGTCTCGCTTATCTTTCGAACTAGTAATCGTAACATTACTTTAAAAATTTCATATTATATTTCCTCTCAACTTTGTTCACTTGTGTTGTTTTCTTTCTCCAAATTACTTTTATTTAAATCATCAAAGTATGCGTACATATTATACTCTCTGAATTTCACTTGTGAAATTATATCGAACATCATTTTAAAATATCACATAGTATGTGAGTTAGTAAGTCAATGAAAAACAAAAAAAAAAAATTAGAACTCGTTTTAAAATAAATCTATCCCATATATTAATTGAAAGGAATAATTTTTCAAAATCCTAGCCATTTCGAGATTATAATCTAAAAATAAAATAACAATTCCGAAATAACTAATAGCGGAATATAACAAGCCCTCTTTATCCCATACTCCACCCATTGAAATTGTTTAATAATATAAACTGATTTTTTCTTCTTCTTCTTCTCACAATTTCCCCTGTTTTTTGTCTACTTGTTAACAGGGAAAATTAACTCCATGAATGCTTTAAAGCTCTTTTTAAGTGCAGCAGCACTTGCAATAATGGCTGTTCTATTGACTTTAAGCTCCAAAAATGTTTACAGTCCACCTTCAATACCAGGATCCAAAGATCTCTTATCGAAATCTGAAGTAATACATCTGAAAGGAGCAGTTGGGCCGGAGAGTATTGCGTTTGACCCGAACGGAGAAGGTCCATACACCGGCGTTGCTGATGGCCGGATTCTTAAGTGGAATGGAGATTCTGACGGTTGGGTTGATTTTGCTGTCACTTCGTCTCAAAGGTAAAAAGCAAAAATCCCCAATTTCTATGGCTATTTTTGGTAATTTTTGTTTTATAGTATGTTTTTCATATTCTCAAATCCTGAATTAGTCTTGTTAACATGCTTGTAATGAGTTTGATTTCTTAGACGGTCAGTCGAGTAATAGTTATTATTAGAGAGTATCTCGAAAGTCACTGTCTTTGTTGGAAACAAATGGAATTAAGAAAGAAAGTTGACTCTTTGAGTGAGCAACTATATGAGATATTAACCTCCTTGTAATGCGGGCCGATTAAAAGTACGAATTCAGGATTTAAAGTTTATGAGCTTAGCTTTTATGTGATTTTAATGAATTTTTAAACATAAATTTATACTCAGCTTAAAAGTAGTGAGTTCAGATAAACGCCAAGGTTGTGTTTGTTTCTAACGGTGCTAATCATAATCGTGGAGTATCTTTTCAAATGAATTAGATGGTATATGGGCCAGTTTATAAGTATGTCGTGTGATACTAGGTGTTGCGAGGTAGCTTTCCTTCTGAAGCTGTGGACTTATTTTTCTTATGAATAATGGAAGTGTTTGTTTATTCTTTCTCCGGACTGCTTTGGACTGTTTTTCCTTGAGTCGAGGGTCTAGTGGAAACGACCTCTCTACCTCTAAGATAGGGGTAAGGTTTGCGTACTCTTTAGTCTTTACCCTCCCTAGTCCTCACTTTATGTTGTTGTAGTATTAACGGAAGTGTCAATTGTGACCAAATTTCAAACTTTTAGGCATATTTATATCGGTTCATGGGTCTCTGGTTGTGGAATCTGTATATTCAAGAATCCTACTTTTACTCAATTTATCTTTTCTACAGTGACATGTGTTTTTTCATAGATGGAGTCGATTGTATTAAACTTCAAGACTTAGAAAAACAAAGATTTTGGAGTGATCTGTATACTTTAGAAAGACCATAAAGCGCTGTGGTGGGATGGATAAGATCCTTCTATTCTTACTAAAGATCTTGTGTTCTAGTCCTGTAAATAGAGAAACTTTTAGTAGGGAGCGTTCCCCACTATCATTGGCCATACTTAGCTAATCTGGATTAGTCAAGCTAGTGGGTTCTGGTAAACCTTTAGCAAGTTCCAAAATGTTAAGTTGTGATGTCATGTTTCCTTTATTGCACCACCTTTACGTTCAAAAAGATTCTTTAGTAACTTGTCTTGTAACTGGAATATGTAAGTCATCTTCTTATTTGTCTAGTTCATATCTTCTGTCACCTGAGGATTCTTACTGTATGTAATTACAGTATGTCAACCTTTTATAATTTTATGGCTACTTCACCGTTATTCATGTGGTGTTTGTTTATTCAGATTCCAACAACAAACGACTCTTAATACGAGTATTATTGAAGGAAGAACACAAGTAGCCTTGTCTCAGCAGGGAAACACTTGCAATTTGATTTTGTTTATATGTTTGAAATGTATGACTCTTAACATTTTCCTTATTTCCCCCAAGAAATCATTGAGATGAACTAGTTTTTGGCTTCTCTTTTTTTTTTTGTGTGTGTGTATGCGTTTTTCAAAATTATCTAATGGAACTTGACATGATATCATCAAGGAAGGAATGTGTGCACCCTTTTGCTCCCCAAATGGAGCACGTATGCGGAAGACCGCTGGGCTTACGATTTGATACAAGAACCGGAGACCTCTACATTGCTGATGCCTATTTAGGACTTCACGTTGTGGGTCCATCTGGTGGATTAGCTACCCCACTCGTCACAGAAGTTGAAGGCCAGCCTCTGCGCTTCACAAATGACCTCGACATCGATGAGCAAGAAGATGTAATTTACTTCACAGATACCAGCACACAATTCCAGAGGAGGTAATTTATATCCAATGGACTATTTAAATTTGAATCTGTTCATGCGAAGCTAAATTGGGTTTGATAGCCGATAGGTTGGTGTAACGTAGATTGCGTATAGGGTCAGCAAAACAGAGAAGTCAGTTTCGTTATTAGGTTCATATGCCACTTTGTAACATACAGATACTCTTGAAGAAACTGATTCTGATTTCTCATCTTATATCTAGGCAATTTGTTGCATCTGTTGTAAGTGGAGACAAGACAGGCCGGCTGATGAAATACGACAAATCAACCAAATCAGTGACAGTTTTACTACGAGGCCTTGCTTTTGCCAACGGTGTAGCCTTGAGCAAAGACAAGTCCTTTGTACTAGTAGCTGAAACTAGTACCTGTAGAGTAGTAAGGCATTGGCTTAAAGGCCCTCATGCAGGAAAACACGATACATTTGCTGATCTACCAGGATATCCAGACAACATCAGAAGAAACTCGAGAGGGGAGTTTTGGGTCGGTTTGCATTCAAAAAGATCGCTGCTTGCAAAATTAGTCACATCCTATTCATGGTTCGGAAAGACAACACTAAAACTTCCATTCACCTTCCAGCAACTGCATTTCTTGTTAGTTGGAGGACAGCCTCATGCAACTGCAATTAAGCTAAGCGAGGACGGGCAAGTTTTGGATGTTCTAGAAGACCTCGAGAGCAAGACGTTGAAGTTCATAAGCGAGGTTGAGGAGAAGAACGGCAAGCTGTGGATTGGTTCTGTACTGGTGCCTTTTGTTGGAGTTCATGAATTGTCTTAAAAGTTGCAGTATCCTAAATAGGTTAGCTCAACTTTTGGTGATGAATAAGTTTTTAACTTAGAGCCAAGAGTTTGTCGGAAACGATGTTTCTGCTTTCACTAGGTAGGGTAACGCTATGTAAACCCATCATGGTCACACCCTACTTGTCGGATTACACTGGATATGTTATTGTCGGATTACACTGGATATGTTATTGTTGTTTCTGGTGATAAAACTTTCTTTAAGTAAACTATTTGTGACTTCCTCAGATTCCTCTGTAGTGGCCTGACTAAGTTTTAACTTTGAATTAGAGTTATTTAATGTACCTATATTCTTAATTATCCCGGAAATAAAGCCCCAAGATTATAATTTTCGAACTAATTTATGTTTTGTCAAATATTTCATCAAACGCAATATAAATATAACTCAATCATGAAAAGTATTCGATGTCATCGACTTAGATTCACATACTAGTTGTTTATCACATGCTGCTGACTAAAAGTAAGGGGAATTGTAACACGTTATCATATCTTCTAAGAAAAATTAAATTATGATCATATAATATATATCCACATTCTTGGGAACACAAATATTAGAAGCTTCCTCAAAAAAAATATCCTAACTTTAACTTTAGCAGATGATATATAATATAGTAATTAATTCTTATCGTGATTGTACGTTGTGGTGTGTGGTCTTTCTTTCAGTAGAAGAATTAGATTTTTGGTATTTGCCGTTGAGTTTCATTTTTATTGGTTTTTAGTTTATTGATAATATCTTTATTTATTTATAATTTCTTTTTTATATATATATATATATATATATAAATATGTTGTTTTTTGTGTTTTCTTTTAGGCCTCACACTTTTTCTATTGATTGTTACGTTTTGTCATTATTTTCTTCATTCTTTTTATAGAGAATTTACTTATTTTTTAAAAATTATAATAAAATTTATGTACATTTTACCTTCTTCAAATTCTCGTATTTTATGTATCTTAGTTCAAGCAAATCCAAAGTGAGGGAAGATACTTTTTTTTTTGTTCCTTGCTAACTCATTTAACAAAGTTAAAGAAAAATAAGTCTTTATAAGCTTTTCCTTTCCCTTTTCTCACATGCCAAACACAAGATGCTATAAACTCTAGCAACCTTTTGAGAATTGTATTAGTTTGGAGTAAATTAATTAATTAGTTTCATGGAAATTTCAAAAGTTTTTACTCTTTAAAAATACTTGTTATGTTAGTCTCTTCAATTTTAGAATAAAAACTTATTCAAACCTAACACATGCAACAAACTATCACTAAGTAATCACCCCCGCCCTGCTAAATTAGTGACAGACAATTTTTATCGTGAAATATTATAACTTTTATTGTTATACAGTACATTTTTATCGTAAAACATTATAATTTTTGTCATTAAATAACAGATAGCAATGTACTATTGAAAACTTATGTTAGTCATATTAAATATCACATATATGCGTCATGAATTTCATAATCAATTTCTATTTTGTTTAGTCGTTGTGTTAACTCTAATGTTATTCAGTCAAATGACCAATTATTGAAGAAAAGTTTTACATAATGATAATTTCTTTTTTTAATTTATCACTAAACAAATCATATAATAATATCACGTGATCTGGAAATTCTTAATTAGTTTCTTTATTAAAGCCAAAACAAAAAAAATATGAAAACTCACATGATTTTAATGGAGGAAAGTCTATCTAAAGTTTGGATAAGAAGGGATGATATCACTTGCGAACAAAAGTCAATATTATAAGACTATTACAAATGTGATTGCTTCTTTTTTAATTAGATTTTGAATTTGAGTTTGAATATAAAAAAAGTCTTATTAGGGTGCGTTCCTTTCACCCCACCTCTCGAATGGTGCCATATACAACGTAATTTAAATTGATCAGATTTTAATACGTATACTTGACATCGGATAAAATTCTTTTAAAAAAATATTGTAGAATAGACATGCACTTGGATGTGGTAACTAAAGTTATTATAACAAAAACAATTTTAACCAATTACCATTTTTTATGTAGTGCCTATAATCTTGATTGACTGATTTGATCAATTTTTAAAATATATTAGAGATTGTTACACTAAAAATAATTGCATAAATATAAAAATATACTCCATTAAAACTCATTATGCTATGTTTTCTAAGTTCAAAAGTCATAAAGTAAAAAATTCAAAACTTTTGCTTTTAAATATTAAAAACTCTTAACTAAAAATAAATTGTATAGTAAAACATTATCAATATCAATCAAGCCTAATTTCTATGGCTACCAATTATAGATTAGTCGTTCGATAAGTGAATTATTACAAACGCTATATTACACATAGTTTTTTTTTTTTTGCTTCTTTTATCACTGAGTGGTCATTTAACGATCATAACGAATCGAGTGGTGATCATTTTTCTTTTCTTATTTTTTTTCTTTCTTTTTGTGTGGCTAAACTTTAAAGAAATAAGAATTTGGGGGCCCTATTTTCCTTGTCAAGTGAATCAATCAAATGTCCAATAGCCATAATTTCAAAAGACATAAGGGTCCCAATTGGAAATTTTTGTGCTTTAAATTTGTTTGATTTTAGTTTGAATCTAAAGTCTTTTTGTTACATATTTATGGTGGGACTTGAAATTTTCTATTCCATAACATATTTGGAATGGATCTCAGCCATAAAATAATTGTGTGTCTTCATTGAATACTTCTTTGAATGGAGTATGACTTTTGTCAAAGTTATAATTTTGTGGTTTTGTTTCAATCTTTGACTTTTTTTTTAATCATTTATCGATAAAATTATTCAAGTTATATTGTATCAGAAGTGAAATTTAGTGACAGTTAATAAATGATATATCTTTTTATAACTTATAATGGCACTGAATATAATGACAATTAAATAACTAATATCGATAAAAAATTTTATCAATTCACAACGAATACTTTGACTAGTCAGTCCATGGACACATTTTGGGGGGTTGGGTTGAGATTTTAATTACACAAAATAAAAGATAAAATATTTTTTAAAGACATGAAAATTCAAATCCTTTTAATTAACTTTTCTTCTTGATCAATATGTATATTATTTATAGATGTTTTTATTTTTTTATAAGAAAAAGGGACAATTTCTATATTAATTATATTAGTATATTGATTTTTCAACATAAATTTATGTTTTTCTTAACGCCCATCCTAGAAAATAAAGATTGAATTCTATAACATATATATTTAAGTTTTCCATATGATATCTATAAAAAAAAAAATTAGAATATCATAATAGCTTTATTTTTATATTTTTCTTAATGCTTATCAACTTTTTTAAAAAAAATAAAAATAAGTGCTTATAAATTTCCATCAAAATGTTGCTTTTTAGTTTTTTTTTTAAAAAAATAAAATTCTCTCACAGCTCTAACATGATTTTCTAAATGAAAGCATTTGTAAAACACATTCGTGATATGCGATTTATGAACAAATTTAAATTTTTTGATAATATGTAAATCGAACATAGAATAATACGTTTGGTAACTCGATATCTAATAATATATAAAATTATATTTGAAAAAAGTAGATCAAAATATCGTGTAATTTTAGAAGTGAAGTCTGAAATGGATGATCTACTTGAATGCAACCTTACAAAAGGTAGATGCTATAGTTTCAATAGACCTCGATTCAAATACTTGAAATTATCTTCGATTTAAAAATACTGTTGGATCTGGTTCATCCATTAAAAAGGTGTTAGTTAATCTATGTATGTCTAATCTTCCACTTATAAACCTTTAAGCGATTACTTATAAAAATATAAGCTTAAACTTTCAACACACTTTATCTTCACTCAAATTCGTAGCTTCCTTTATCCTCAGTCCTCACCACGTACCTCACACTTCTACCCATCTCTATTTTATATTATTTGTCTAGGTTATAATATCAATCAACTCCATTCCCAACCTTATCAAAATCGGAGGTAATTAGGCGGATCCATGATTTGAAAACTATAGGTCTATCACTAGATTTTAAATAAAAAAAACAAAGAAAAATAAGGCTCTAATTGGATTCAAAATCTAGTCTCACACCTCTAGCTTTTACCATCAAAATAAGAGCACTCTTTTATGAATGCACTGTTAATTGTATCCTAAAATTTTTCAATTTCTCAACATAAATATGTATATATATATGAAAAAGTTAACAAATGCACTTGCATCAATACTTGGGTCTAACTCTGCTCACGATGATACAACATAAAGAAAAAATAATATTTTAATTTTTAAATATTAACTTTCCTTTTCCAATTTGCAATCAAATAATCTTTGAAACTTTTGAAAGCTAACACACTTCTCTTTGAAAAAAAAATAATAAAAAATCAAAGACGAAATTTATTATAATGTATATAACTACAAAAGAAGTATGTCAAGAACCTAATTTTCTTTGTCTTCTTCCTCTTACCAATTTCTTTTTTATTTTTATACTTCAAGGTGTCAAACTCATTTCAATTAAATATAATTTCTTAAAAAAATAAAAAATATCTAGAGCCTTTTTCCCACATTAATAATAATAATATTAAATTATGAAAACAATAATTTCGAGGACCATACTTGTCCTTTAGATAAATGGAACAGACATTGAAAACCAACAAGTATTTGATGGAGATGCCACTTTCCTATTTTGATCGACTCCACGTATCTCTCAAATAATGGTGTTCGAAAATTATTTTATCAATGAGACGTAATAGATATTTCATAAAATTAATTAATACATATGAAAATTAACTTTATCGCCACAATCATTAAAAAAAAAAGAGTAAAGACATGTTGCTGATTAAGTTATAAATATAATAAGAAAAAAAATGAAATATATCATGTATTTATTAATTCATGAAGCACTAAGTGCAAATAAGCTTTTATCGTTTCAAATTTACTGATTCAATTAGTTAAGATTCACAATATAAAAATAAGTCATGAGGAGCGATTTTTCAAGTTTCGTATCTTGACTCTCGATTGTTTTCTTTATTTATTTAAATTAATTTTTTTTGTATTAAATTATGTTTCAAAAATTAATTGTTGATATATGTCGCGTACACCCTATTTCGATTGAAAAAAAAGTGTCTTTAGTCACACTCCACATGACTAATTTCATTCACCTAATCTAATTATTAATTATGATATTTATTAGTAGTAGTAATTATAATTATAATTATAATTAATTGGTGATTTTGACAAAGTATGGGATGTGGACCTGCTGACGTGGATTCAACTACTTGTAACGACATTTGTCATCTGGCCACGTCACTATTCCCTAAAGAGCAATTTTTTAGTTTTAGATCAAAAAAAAATTATGATAAAAATACTATT